TTATTATTAAAATTAAAAGAAAACCCTAATCTAACTTCTCCATTTAAAATTACCATTACAAAGAAAGGCATAGAAGTTAGCTAACTATTATTTTACACCAACCTCCAGATGAAAGATGCTGAGTAATATTCAAGGGTGGGCAAAGTAGGTTTACAGGTGTGAGTATGCGAAACGCAGAGTTTATTCTTGTATTATTATTTATTAATTATTGTATTATTTGTTGTATTATGTATATCTACTTTTGCCCACTCCTGTTTATGACACTGAAATATAACTGAACATTTTCTATGCACCATGGGGAGGGCGAGGGAGGAGGAATGTTCCTCTAAACCAGGAGTGGGGAACCTTTTTTCTGCCAACCATTTTGGTATTTAAAACACCATTCTTAGGCTATATAAAATTATCAACTTAAAAATTAGCCTGTTATACGTGGTCAAACATTTAATTAACTCACCCCTAATGCCTTGGCAAGGACAGACCAAATGATTTCTTGGGCCGTACATTCCTCACTCCTGCAAACCTTAAAACAATTCTAAAAAATATTTCTAGATATTTGTGTCCTTACGAATTAGCTTAATGATTTTAAACAAGCAATAACCAAGAACTAAGAAAAATCCTCTCAGAGGAGGGAAAAACTGTATGAGACAAGAAACAAAACAAAACAAGCTAAGTTTTCTAATAGCAAAAACAAACGATTAAAGTACTCCTTTTAATGTGTGGATTTATTACAATTAGGTCTCTTTTTAAAAAAGGAAACTGCTACAAATAATGAATAAAGAACACATATTATGTATTTCAGAAAAACTTTAAGCCTTCTCAAATCCCAACATTTGATCAATTTAGAATAAGATTTTGTAAAATTCTGGAAAGGAAAATAAAAGTTACTGTTTACTGGACAAAGTTCCAGTTAAAATACTTGGGAATTAAATAATCTTGCTTCAGTAGGCATTTAAATGTAGTAATACTTTAGAATAATTGCCATATTGATAAGATGCAAATACAGATCCTAGTATTAAAACATGGATTTTTCCTATTTCCATTACCTCAAGCTTTTAATCAAGGCATATAAGTTAAACTTTACAAAATGGCTAGATTTTCTACAAAACAAGATTCCTTGACAATGGGCCATTTTTCTACCTATCTTAAGTTGAAAATACCTGTTTTAAAGGTTTCCCAATTATTGAATGAAATAGAGCCAAAGAAAATATTGGTTAATCATACTGATGGTACTTGATTGATTCAAAATGTACTCCCAAGTACATCAACATGAGAGTTAGTAACTTGATATTTAAAATGTTGGCTCAGTTACACATGCACAAACAGAAACACAAACTAGTAAAAGTGAGTAAAAATAAGTAACACACACTCCTAGTAAAAGTGAGTAAAAGTAAAATTAAGTGCTTTACTCATTTTTACTAGAAACACAAACCAGTAAAAGTAAGAAACACACACTCCTGGTAAAATTAAGTAAAGTAAGTGCTTATATAGTAGAATAAAATACTAACAAAGCCATAGAGACTTTATGTTCTCATTGACACTCATCTGTTTAAAGGTCTCTAAAGCTAGCCACTCAATTGGGTAAGTCAGTATTTCCATCCTATCATTACTTTCTTAGGGATGGGGTTTATTCCTTTTATTTGAATCGTTTTAGTCACCTGTTACAATGTGGCACGAAATATGTCAGACCTACTTCTCCATGTACCAGCCAGGTTTCAAAGAAGGATACAACTGTGTAATTGCTCTAGTGAGGAAAGAAAACTCTGGCATACTGAAAGCAGTACACACAATGAACCCCGCTGGCTGCTACAGAAAGGATACCATTTATTTAAACTTTTACTGCCCACTTCCTCTAGTTATTATTTTAAAAATACACAAAAGTAAAGCAACTCAAGATCTATAATACTACCTAAATTCTATTTAAAAATATTTTATGATACTTTCACCAAATTAAAAGAACTGTCTCCTAAAGAAAAAAAAAAAGATAAATATTCTGTATCATATTCGACTAATGAAGTTCTATTTTATGTTTATCACGAACTCAAGCTCACTGACCCCCTGAGGGACACAATATTGTTTTTAGTTGATCAATCTCTTGACATACCTACGTTATCAACAGCCTGCATTTCTGGCTCTTAACTAACACCACCACATATGTTGCTTTGGCTGTATCCCATCAGGCCTTCCTCAATGCCAGACTAAAACATGATAAAATACGACATAAACGACTAAAAAATAAATGTGCTCATTTTGCCTTCCAAGTGAAATCTCAATAGGTTGCAAGCTCTGGATTAAAGAATATGACACGGGAAGGGCCTGCTTTGAATAGAAGAATTGTTTGCAGAAGGAAATAGATTAATCTTTTGATGCTCCAAGTAGAAATGCTAAGAACTTATGCATAATTCTAAGTTATTAAAAAATTCAGACTTTAGCTTAATTTATGGAAGAATTAATATTCTAACAATTTGAATGTCTAATGATATAAAAGGGACTAGCTACTGGAAATGTTCATCTGTCTTGGGGATATTATTGAAACTCTATTTTAATGCCAGTGAACTCAGAAAGAACTAAGAGAAAGGATTGACACTCACCTCTCGCACAAACGAAACAAAAGCCTACATTTACAGCAGAGGATGAATTACTGCTCCGTTTGGAATGATTACTACAGATGAGAATGTAGGAGGACACGAATATGCTTCCGGCAGCAACACAAGCATCTCCAGAGTGATAGGCTACTGGACATCTCAAACACCTCATCATGCGACCTGTTTAAAGACAAGTCAAAAAGGAATCTACATTTAGGTATCAGCTGGATATATAAAATGAAATTTTTGGAGTTGGGTTCTTTTGGGTTCCTGTGTGATGCTGAATATAGTAAGATAAAAATATTTTCTTCACTTGTTTGGCTCTGTCATTCCTATGCTATATGGCCCCTAAATGCAGCACCCTTCTAGAGCTCAAAGAAAAATTTGTCTGCTCCGATGCTGGGGAGATGGTGGTCTCCAATATTGCAGCTGTTTAAGGAATTTCCAAGGGTAATTTTGAACATATGGAATTTTCTTCTCATTGTCTGAATGAGAACCTAGTCTCTACTTATTATGCCATCTACTGTGGCTGAGCTCATGTACCTACAGACAAACAGAGGGAGAATGCCCGATGCTCCTTATAACAATATGCTTATTGTTTGCTACTGAACTTAAAAGTAGCTTTTTTACCTTAGCTCTGTTTTACCTTTACTTGCTTTGTGGATGTCTTTCTCCATAGAGCAGGCAGAACAGCAGTGCTGGGGACAGCGGAATCCTTTTGATTCAAAGACGGCAGTGGGGAATTTGCGGACACAGGCTTCATGATAAAATTTCCCACAAGCACCGACAGAGCAACGCTTCACATCTGTACCAGACACCTTACATGAAAAACATGGGTGCTTTCCTGGAAATTTGGTGAAGAACAGAGATTAAATAAAAGCTAATTAAAGCATATTCCTTTTAAATAGAAGCAGCTACTGAGATGAACATGGAAAATAAATGGTTAAATTAAAATATTTAATACATTTTGTTAGAATGATTGATTTGCTATTATAATTGACTAGAGGCCTGGTGCATGACATTCGTGCACTGGGGGTCAGTAGGAGTCCCCTCAGCCCGGCCTGTGCCCTCTCGCAGTCTGGGACCCCTCGGTGGATGTCTGCCTGCAGCAAAGGTGGGAGAGGCTCCTGCCACCACCCCTGCGTTCACCAGCCATGAGCCCGGCTTCTGGCTGAGCAGCACTTGCTCCGGTGGAGTGCACTGACCACCAGGGGGGAAGCTCCTGCATTGAGCGTCTGCCCCCTAGTGGTCAGTGTGCATCATAATGACCAGTCATTCTGCCTTTCAGTCTATTTGCACATTAGCCTTTTATTATATAGGAGGATTTGGAGATGTAGCAGTATAAATAATTTAGACCTCCACTTTTTACTCTACACTAAAATTATTTCCATAGAAAACCCAAACCAGAATTTTTCGACACCTGAGAGGTAAGAGTGTCAAGGTCTTTCCAACACAGAATAAGTAAAAGAAACTACCAAAGAAAAGGCAGATTCCATTAGATAATCACTTAAAATTTCCATATGTAAAACAGAGATAAGATGAAAACTCAAAATTACCCCCTCAAAACAAAAAAATGACAGCTAGACATCTTATTCAAACTGTACAAAATCAGGGACAAAAAAGAAAATATTAAAATTACCCACACAAAGACAAGTATCTTCAACGAAGCAACAATAACACTAATAGCTGACTGAAAGAAAAATAAAAGCCAGAAAATAACGAGATGCTATCTTTAAAGCTGAAAGAAAATTGTTACCAAGCTAGAATTCTATATCCACTAAAAAATTCTTCAAAAATGAAGTGAAATTAATATACATTGGGAAATATTAAAAACAAAAACAAAAATTGGCCCTTTGAAAAAGATTAATAAAACAGATATCCCTGCCTGGCCAGTGTGGCTCAAGGGTTGAGCATCGACCTGCGCACCAGGAGGTGGCTGGCCAGTTTGATTCCCAGTCAGAGTATATGCCCAGGTTCTGGGCTTTGATCCCCAATAGGAGGTGAGCAAGAGGCAATCAACTGATGCTGCTGTTTCACTCTCATTGATGTTTCTATTTCTCTCCCCCTCTCCTTCCTTCTCTAAAAACATATTTTTAAATATATTTTATTGATTTTTTTACAGAGAGGAAGGGAGAGAGAGAGAGTCAGAAACATCGATGAGAGAGAAACACTGACCAGCAGCCTCCTGCATGTGCCCGCAACCCAGGTACATGCCCTTGACCGGAATCGAACCTGGGACCTTTTAGTCCGCAGGCTGACGCTCTATCCACTGAGCCAAACCGGTTTCGGCTAATAAAAACATATTTTAAAAAAACTGATATCCCTGGTAACAATGACTAATTAAAAAAAACACACACACAAGAAAAAGTAGCAATACATGTAACTATCAGAAATAAATAATGATATATCACTACATATCCTACAAAGTTAAAAAGATAATACACGGTGATCATTACATTTTTGCCAATAAATTTTACAACTTAGATAAGTAAACAGATTCCTAGAAAAACAGAACTTACCAACAGTGGCACAAAAACAAATAGAAAATATTATTAGTTATATAAACTATTAAAGAAAGTGAAACTATAATTAAAAATCTTCCAACAAAAAAAAAACTTTAAGCCCAGATGGCTCTACTGGTCAATCTGCCAAATATTTAAAGGAAGAAATAATCCCAATTAGAATGGAAAAAAAGAAGGAATACGTAAAAGACAAACAGATGTGGAAAAATATATGCAACAAAGATGATAAAGGATTGTTTTGTTACACAACGTTCAAATATAGTGAAAATATATGCAATCTATATAAGCAAAGATAGCTAAACAAGACTTATAAAGAACTATCAATCAAAATAGAAACAAAATAGCCTAATAAACACGAGCAAAAGGAATGAACAATTTACAGAAAGCAGCCAATAAACATGAAAAATGCTCAACTTCACTAGTAATCAGATAAATGCTAATTAAAACCACAAGTTACATTTTACTGTAAAAATTCATCAATAGGAAAAAAACTTTCAAAGTCTGATAATATCAGTTGTTGATCAGGGTGTAGGGAGAAAAGGTACTCTTGCATAGTGCTCGTAGGAATTTAAATTGGAAGGAACTACTTTAGAAGGAAACAAGGCAGAATCTATTTTTCAAAAAAGTACATCCACTTTTTGTGGCCTAGAAATTATACTTCTTACTCTCTACATTAGAATAGACTTGTATATGTAAAAGGATGCTGACTAAAGCACTGTTTCTAACTGCAAACAACTGAAAGCAACTCAAACTTCCTCCAATAGGAGAATAGTTAAACTGTGACATAGGCATACTATAGAACAGCAATTGAATATATTTGCATTGACATAAAAAGAGCTCAAAAACAAATGGAAAAAATATCCTCAGGTGAAGATTAACAACAACAAAAAGGTGATAATGTGAAAAAGAAATTCATATTTATTTACAGATGTAATGACTCATGCATTGATATTTTAAAACAGCAATACAATTGCTTTTTTTGTAGCATAGTATAATTAACATGACTGCTTCATGGTGGTAAGGAAATTTCTAAAAGATGTTCCAAGAGACAGTATTTATTGGAAAAAAATCTGCATATAAGTGGACTCATGTAGTTCAAACCTGTGGTGTTCAAGGGTCAACTGTGATTGTTTTGTTTAAAAAACTTTTTAAAAATCCTCACCAGAGGATATTTTTTCCATTGCTTTCTAGGGTGAGTGAAAGGGAGGCAGGTGGAGGAGACACACATCAATTAGTTGCCTCCTGCACACACCCTTATTGGGCTGGGGAACTTGCAACCAAGGTACATGCCCTTGACAGGGAATCGAACCTGGTACCCTTTGGTCCGCAGGCTGATGCTCTAAACACTGAGGAAAACTGGCCAGGGCAGTAATTGTTGTTTTTTTTTAAATTGTAGTTAAAATATAAAACATAAGCCCGGCTGGTGTGACTCAATAGTTGCGTGTTGACCCAGGAATCAAAAGGTCGCAGGTTCGATTCCCAGTCAGAGCATGTGCCTGGGTTGTAGGCTTGATCCCCAGTAGGGGTATGTAGAGGAGGCAGCTGATAGATGATGTTTCTCTTTCATTGATGTTTCTATCTCTCTATCCCTCTTCCTTCCTCTCTCTCTAAAAATCAATTTAAAAACATATTAAAAAAATATAAAACATAAAATTTGCCATTTTTACTATTTTTAAGGATACAGTGACATTAAATCCATTTACATTATTTAGCAATCATCACCACTATACAGCTCCAGAATTTTTTCATCATCCCATACTGACTACCCACCACTCTTCTCTCCTTACTAACCCCTGGTAACAACTGTTCTACTTTCTGTCTCTATGAATTTGATTACTCTAGGTAACTCATGTACTAGTAAGTGGAACCATAAAATATTTGTCCTTATAAATGGCTTATTTCACTCGGCATAGTGTCTTCAAGGTTCATCCTTGTTGTAGCATATATCAGTATCTATTTCATTTCTTTTTAAAGCTGAATAACATTCCATTGTTTATTTATCCATTGTTTACTATTCTACATGTTATTTATCCATTCGTCCATTGATAGACATTTGAGTTGTTTCTACCTTTTAGTCATTGTGAATAGTGCTGCAACAAACATGGGTGTACCAATACCTGCTAAGAGACCCTGCTTTCAATTCTTTTGGGTATATACCCAGAAATGGAATTACTGGGTCACATGTATTCTATGTTTAATAGAGGAACTGCCATACTGTTTTCCACAGCACTTATGCCACTTTAAATTCCCACCAACAGTGTATAAGTGTTTCAATTTCTCCATATTCTGTTTTCTTGGTAATAGCCATTCTAATAGGCATGAAGTGGCATCTCATTGTGGTTTTGATCTGTATTTGCCTGATTACTAATGAATGATGTTGAACATCTTTTCATGGGCTTATTGGCCATATGTATAACTTCTTTGGAGAAAAATCTATTCAAGTTCTTTGCCTAATTTTGAATTGGGTTGTGTGCTTTTTGTTAAGTTATAGGAGTTCTTTATGTATGATTTTGGATATTAATTCTTTGTCAGATAGGTTATTTGCAAATATTTTCTCCAATTTTGCAGGTTGCTTTTTCACCCAGTTGATAGTGTCATTTGATGTACACTGTGTTGTTGTTTTTTGTAATAGAGACATCATTTTATTGATTTTTTAAAATTTTCTTTTAGAGAGAGGAAGAGAGAGGGGGAGAGAGAGAGAGAGAGAGAACCACTGATGTGAGAAACATCCATGGGCTACCTCCTGCACATACCCCAATCAGGAATGAAACCAGAAACCTGGGTATGTGTCCTGATCAGGTATTGAACCAGCAAACTTCTGTTGCGCAATATGACACTCAACCAACTGAGTCAATTTTTAATTTTGGTAAAGTCCAATTTGTTTATTTTTTCTCTTGTTGCCTGTGCCTTTGATGTCATATCAGGAAATCACTGCTTAAGCCAATGTCATAAACATTTCTTTTATGTTTCCTTCTAAGAGTTTTATAGTTTTAGCTCTTATGTTTGAACCTTGATACATTTTGAATTATTTTTTGCATATGGTTGTTAGTTAAGGTTCTAATTTCATTCTTTTGCATGTGGATATCCAGTTTTCCCAGCATCATTTGCTGTAAAGTCTGTCATTTCCCCATGAAATGGTCTTTGTACCCTTCTCAAAAAATCATTCCTGTATATGTGAATATTTATTTCTGGACTCCCATTGGGTATATGTCTATCTTTATGCCAGTATCACACTGTTTTAATTGATGTAGCTTTTAGTAAATTTTGAAATCAGGGCATATGAATCCTCCAACTTTGTTCCATTTAATTGTTTTTAAAGCAAATTTCCTTCTTAAATTTCTTAATAGATGTGTACCAATTTAGTTTATATCTAACCATGGCAGAATTCAGCTGGATTCGAGTTAGGAGAGAAGCCTCAAAAGAGTGTTTTAATACTGAGCTATTTGGTCCTTCCTATCAGTAGTTGGAATCAGAGATTGCAAACTTAAGTGTTTAAAGGGACTGGACAGGTTATATAAATGGCTGGAGTGACAGGGTTTCAGAAAAAGGGAATGACAGAGAATGTGAGGAACCAGGAGTACATGCCTGATCCATGTTCACACATTCAAAACATATTTTGAAGGACAAATAAAACAATGTGCAGATAATCTGACCCCAAGCCTGCCAGTTGGCCAATTGGTCTACATGTGATGAATAAAATATCTTACGTAGGAAAAAGTATGTTATATGTTCAAAACAGCTTTAATAGCTTAATTTTTGCATGTGCATGTTTGTGAGAGAGCAAGAGCGAGAGCGAGAAAGCACATGTGTGTTAAAATATATGATACATGATCTCCATCGTACTTAATCAAGGTGGTAGAAGGCAATGGTAAACAGCAAGGATCCTGGGGTCAAGCTGCCTCCTGGGCATAACTGCCAGTTTCATCAACTTCTGTTTTCATGACTTTGGACGAGGTACTAAACTAAACCCTCTAATCCTTAGTTTCACCCTCTGCAAAATGAAAATAATAACAGTATCTATCTTATTATGTTATGAGGGTAAAATGAGATCTATATAATAAAAGCCTAAGCAACCTTTACGGCGGAATGACCAGAACAACCAGTTGCTATGATGTGCACTGACCACCGGGGGGGGAGGGGGCGGCGGCAGACGCTCAACGCAGGAACTGCCCCCTGGTGGTCTGTGTGCTCCCACAGGGGGAGTGCCACTCAAGCCCCCTCTCGCAATCCAGGACCCCTTGGGGGATGTAGGAGAGCCAGTTTTGGCCCGATCCCGCTCAAAACTGCAACTGCCCCCTGGTGGTCTGTGTGCTCCCACAGGGGGAGTGCCACTCAGCCAGAAGCCAGGCTCACGCTGGCGAGTGCAGCGGTGGGGGCGGGGGCCTCTCCAGCCTCCGCTGCAGCGCTAAGGAATAGTGAGCCGAGCAGTAAGGAGCAGCGAACAAGCAGACGACGGTAAGGAGCAAGGAGTCCCGGACTGCAAGAAGGCACAGGCTGGGCTGAGGGATGAGAGACATCCCCCGCCCCCGGCAGTGCACAAATTTCAGGCACTGGGCCTCTGGTAATAGGATATAATGCTTAGTATTAACAGCACCTGGCATTTACTCAGTGTTCAGAAAAAATTACCATTCTAACAATTTTAGCATGCACTGATTCAAATAAAGAAGGATAAAATCAAATAAAGAAGGATAAAACTATTTATGAGAATCCAAAGAAAAAGGGAAAAGGAGTAAGAAAATAAAGTGTCACGGGTAAGATGAGCATATCATAAATATTTGATAACCAGTTGGCTCATAGTTTCTCACAGCAAAAAATAAAACAAAAAACCGTACATAGTTCCTGGATGCACTGCCATGCTATGTTCAGTTGACTCTTCACTTGCCTTGTTACAGATTAAACAACTCTACTTCCAGCTTTCCATGACTTTAAATAGAATCATGGCTACACAGGGAAGAAATACAAACTTGTCTATTTCTTTCTCTATAAATTATTTTGATAGACGGTAGTCTGTATTGGGGTGGGGTGGTGAGAACTAAATGGTGAATCCAAAACCTGCATTTTTTATTTTTTTAAATTATTCTTAATATTTTTAACTGATTTCAGAGAGGAAGGTAGAAACATCAATGAGAGAGAATCATTGATCAGCTGCCTCCTGTATGCCCTCTACCAGGGATCAAATCTGCAAACCTGGGAATGTGCCCTGACCAGGAATCCAACTGTGTGTGACCTCCAGGTTCATGAGCCAATCTTCAACCACTGAGCCACACCAACCGGGCCAAAACCCACAAGTTTTAAAAACAATTTCTAGTAGCTCCATCTTTCCACTAAAAGTACTGTCACCATGGTTACGCTTTGCAATCGACACTTACTCTAGCCTATTAAAGTCAAGGGACTTTAAACCAATTTATTTAGCATAAAAACCTTAAACCCATTTGAAAAAAAACTTACTCTATATACTTTGTATAGCTCTTTAGATAAAATACAAGTACATCTGGATGAATTGATAGATTTTTATGATTAAGGCACAGCTAGGAGGAAATTTGGTAATAATATTGCTAACTACTCTTTCGATTTTATGAAGCCTAAATAGCAAATGATCTTCATTTGTTGAAATACTTATGGGAGAAGAGCTACATAACAGCGGTAAGAAAATTAGATATCATGGGAGGTGCTGGCATTGCACATTCCTCCTTATCCATCTTTTCATATCTACCAAAACAAGAAAGCTCACCGGTTTTACATTCCATGCAGATGAACTTCCCATCGGGGAGTGATGTCACCCCCAGGCACTCCAGGTGAAAGTATTTGTAGCACTCTCCCTCACAAGGAATCAGAGAGTCACCAGAGCTTTCACAGATCTGCAACAAAGCAAAGAGCAGTGGGTCTCAAACTTTAGCAGGCATCAGAATTCACCTGGAGGGTCTATTACAACACAGAGCACAGGGTTCTTCTCCTAGTTTCTGATTCAGTAGGTGTGGGGGTGGGGGAAAAGAATATGCATTTACAAGTATCCAGACAATGCTGATGCTGCTGGCCCTTGGCCCTCACTGTGAGAACCACTGAATTAGATAACTACTTCCAGACCCAATATGGTATAGTTTAAAATTCAAACTTAATCTTTTACGATTCTGTTTTTGGAATCTGGATACTTAAAGTTTTTTTCACAGGGCAAAGCAGTATTTTTCAGAAAGGGTAAATATACATTAAAAACTTAATACCAATTTAATTTTAAGAAAATGGTTTTGAAATCAGTCATTTGCCATTTACTTCCATTTCATAACACAATCTCACAATGGAGATTTATATCTGCATATGAATAGTACATATTCCAACTCAGAAAGTGAAGAGCCCAAAATGGCTTTTAGATCTTGCTTTAAACCAGTATCCTAATTTAGAAAGATACTACCCTCTCCAATAGGTGGTAAATTTATTTATTATTGGCAGAGTATGATAGTAATTCTTTCAAGCTATAGGACAGGCCACTTGCCTACCTGACACACAGTGTCCTTCTTACTCGTTCCAAAGCCTCTTCTTGACAAACTTGAGTCCACGGACTGCACATCAGAAATGTCTGCATCTGCAGTAGCTGAAGGGCTATCTACTTGCTTTCCAAAGCCTACCTACATGGAAAACATAGCACATTTTTAAGAAAAACAAAAACAAAAACTTCCTCAGTTAGGTGCTATAAAGATCCTAGTAAGAGTTGCTCAAATAAACCTGGACACGACCTCTTTCCTTTCTTTCTAAAACATGTCTGGTGTTTTGACAGAAACTTTAGTTAAAAAAAAAAAGCTATGCTTCTGTTATGTAAGAAACTAGCAAAATTAAGATGTGCATCATTACAAAATAACCCAAATGACTTCTTCACTGTGAATATTTTAAAATCCCCATGCTCCCAAAGAAGTTGGGCAAAGCAATTATGTATGTTACTTGGTTTTGCAAAGCAAAAAAGTGCACTGTGCTCCGACCCTTGAACATATTTACCTGCAGGTCACTCAGGCCTCTAGAATCAGAGTCAGATGTGTCTCTGTATGCTGAACTAGTCATTTCTACATCAGTTGAGGCGCGACTCCTTTTCTTTAGAGGTTTACAGGAATCTGAAATCTCGCTGGCACCTTAATACAATACACCGAAATTAATCCTAAAATAGTGCTTAAAGTTTGTTAACTTTTTTTGTGGGAGAATATTTTCTTTCCCCAAACTCATCTGTAGTGTGAAGAAAGCACAGCTCCCTTTGTAACACAGAAGTCACGAGTCAAAACTTCATAAGCTTCTGACTTTTCCTCACAGTGATTTCTTTACAACCGCTCTATTAAAACATTTAATGCAGTGCCCCTGTTCTAAAGCTATTTTCAGTCAACAGAGCCCAAATTCCAACCTAAAAACCAATTCTACCAAAACTACAGGATAGCTGATTTGTTTGGAACCATCCAAAGAACCATTCAATTTGGAGGGGGAAGACATAAAACCCAACACACTATGTAGCTTACAGATATGGTCGCAGAGACATCTCCAAATTGTTTTTATTAGGGATGTGACAAATCTCTGATTTGTATTCGATTCGTACACGGATAGTGCCATTTTCCCCCAATTTTGCAATTTAGTTGAGTATTGCCCCCCGCCACCAATAAATTCTGGATGTTCATAATTGTTCATCTGAGACTTCCTTGGTGAAGTGTCATTTATTGTGACCATTAACAAGTGCTGCAGCACATCTACACATGTCATGCCATGTAGGAGGCACACTGCTGAGGGCTGTAAACAGACAATCAATGTTCAAGTGCAGCCAAATCACGAAGAGCTGGATGAGAGGCCTCTATGTGGAATTTGTGCGGGAAGAAATAAATATGGAAAAAAAAGGCAGAGAATAGTGCGGAATTTTTTTTTAAAACTGTGTGTAATACAAATCCAGCCAAAACAATAGTGCAAAAAGTTACAAAGCAACAATCTCTTGGGCTAATGCAGTATAGGCTATACAGAAACAGCCACGATGAAATGTGCAGATCAGGCACGGTGAATACCAAGGAACCAAGGAGACGGTTAATATTTCAACCCACAGTTTGTGTTTTGGATATTTCCCCCAAATTTTCCATACAACAAACAGACATCTAGATCAGCCCAGCAAGCTATGGTGGAAGTGTGCAGTCCAGAAGAGACCATGGAGAAACAAGTCTCCCAGGGCCATGAAGATCCGCAACAGGCTGAGTGAGAGTAGCACTTGGTACATAGCCATGTTCTGTGGTGGAGGATGTGGGTCTCTTTAGACTGCTCAGATTACTGGAACCTCGTTATCACATCCCAGTCTACAAGTTTTTCACTGAATGTTTCCTTACATCTATAAATGAGGGTGCCTGCCCATGTTAACGCTGATTAAAAAACACAAGTACACAAATCTATCTCCTTCATTGCTGGTGTATGGACCCAGAACACCACCATAAAATATTTCCTTGGCCTAAAAGATCACTGGATTAACAAGGAGTTTTAACAGAGGAACAGGAGTGCTGTACTGAGGCTTTCGAAGGGAAACACAGGTACCGCCATTTCCGATGAGTTTCTGAAAATGCTAGAAAAATGACAGACTGCCAAAGACAGCTGCCATACTTATGTTCTCCATGATAACAGCACTAACATTAAAAAAAAAAAGCTTTTAATTATTGTAATGTACACAGTTTGGGTTGTTTGGCAAAACCCTGCAGACGCGCATTAATGATGCTTTATTTAAAAACAAAAAACAAAAACAGTCCATGTTGAAATTGATCAGTGTAAGTTAAACGGTGGTTTTTAGGCTGGACCCATGATTTAAGCTGTACCTATCCAGCTCAGACCAAAAAAAAAAATCATTTGAATGTTAAAGCAATTGTTCAGAGTCTTGAAGAAGAAACCAGTCAGGAAAATGCCAATAATGATGATTGGCAAAATCAAAATTGGAAACAAAGAAACTGTTTATCAAGCCGCCGACAAAGAAATCTTGCATGGAGACTACAAGTCTGGAGTTTCTGGGATGAAATTGTACAGGAATCTCAGTCCACAGTTTCCTCAATCGCTGCGGAGACGGAGCTGTCACTGAATCTGACAGAGCCCTGCACTCCCCGGTCCGCCGACCCTGTGGAATGGTGGAAACACAACGCAATCAGGCCTCCTAATCTCGCAGCGATCGCGATGTCTTTTCTTGGAGCTCCGCCAAGCAGTGTTCCCTCCGAGAGGCTGTTCAGTTCTGCTGAGGATCTCCACGGAGACCATCGCTGCAGACTTCTCCCCGAGAATGCAGAGAGGCTGGTGTTTTTTATTTTTTAATAATGCAATTTGCCCAGAGTAAACTACAGGTATTAAATACAGTCTGAATGATCTCACCAAAAACGCACGAATCATGCTATGGAGTTTGTACTGTAGTCAAATTGCACACAGAAAATACAGATATAAGTTTAAGGTTTCTTAAACTTTGTGCATATCTCAAATAGATTTGCATTAAGGTCATCTAATAATGGCCATAAATATGCTATGAATCATTTTAATTTACAAAAAAGATTTTACAGCACTGTAAAAATAAATGTGGCAAGATAATTTTTCAATCAGGTTGTCTCGTCTGATTTGTCATAGTCCATGTTTGACAAACATTAATAGGTACTATTCGGTATTCAGTCGAATACCAAAAAAAGTGGATTCGTCACATCCCTAGTTTATAAACCAGTGAAACCCCAGAACCTTATGGAGAAAAGTTGGAAACAGTATCAAGTCTAAGTGGTGTTCTCCAATTTACATAAAACAAATAAGACTTTTCACATGGAGGTACAGAATAGTATCAACTCTAAAAGTCACACACACACACACACACACACACACACACACACACACACACCGGGGAATACTTCCATTTCACACAAATTATTGACTGAAGAGCAACAACAATGATTTACAGAGACAAACAAAAATACATGAAGTACAAATAATTGTTTAAAACTGGTTTTAATCAAGGAAATGAAAATCAACATTATAAAACTCACCTTTCTGTAATCCAGTCTTCACTGTAGTCTGAGGAACTGTTTCAACCTGTTTGGACAGAAAAATCAGCATTAACGAGGAATTTTTTTCACTTTTAATTAACAGAGGGAAAAAATAATACTTCCATCAATCTAAGTAATGATGAGTGGTTAATGTATCTGAAATCCGAACTCAGTCCCATCTGCTGGGTAAAAGTCTCTGTCTCAAAGCCAGGGAGGGTTTAAATCCTAACTGCCTGTGCTGAATACCAAGTGTCAACACACAACCACATGCTCTCTAGCATAGACTTTCCCACCATTCCCTTGGTAGATTAAGAGAACAAGAATACTTTCCTCAGTGTCTGGGAGGCAGGAGAGGGGTTGTTTCTGCAACCAGCCCGATGTTGCTATAAACCCCTCCCGCCCCAAAGACGTTAGGATAAATTTTTACTTACTATGATACTCAGGTTAATGTAACTCACGCCACTTTAAGACCCTTCCGCGCCTGCACTCACAGCTAAGTTGCTGGGAATCAGGACCCTCTCTGTAGAGGGTGCTACAGGGCTCCATACAGCTGGAAGCTCAATACTTTTGCTGCTAGTACAAACTTAATAAGTTTGTGATATTGCAAAAGCACTTTCTTGAGTGTCTTATGAACAGTGTCTTGATCCTACATTAGGAGAGCGAGATCAGAAGTTATTCTGCCAATGTATATGTAAAACACGTGGAAATTTGAGGATTGAACCATTAGAATTAAAGAAAGGATGCTGTTTGGAGGAGTTCCTGTTTAAGCTATGAATTGAATTTTATGTTTCTTAAAGATGTGGTGAAATATGCATGTTGAAACACATTTTGTAAATATTTAAGGATTGTTCTAAGCTTTTAAAAAATATTTTTATTTTTTTTACAACAGGTAAAAAAAACATACAACAGAAGCGCTTTTATAAGATACAATTAGTAATACAAATATAAAATCTTCTAAACAATCACTGGTATTGTTCTACTACTAACTGTAACACAGTGGCATTAACAATTTGTCCCATTTTGTACTTGTTCTGCTTATTAATTTTAAACTGACTGGTCACAGACTGAATTTGGAAACGAGCAAAATCACAATTTCATTTTGGTAATGAATACTGTAGGTTTGCAAGAGCTTAAAAAGATTTTTTGGAATATGATTTCTTAAGTACAAAAGTTAATTATGATAAATGAATGACAAATTAGTAATTATTGAAAATTTTAGTTAACTATTTCTGGGAAAATTGTTTTACATGCTTGATGATACCATAGAGCACCCACAAAGTCACCTTTTAAGTTTCGAAGTTTAAAATTATGAAGAAAATAAACAGGAAATTTCACACTCTTCCATATCAAGTGGTTTTAAAAATATAAAGATCATTGGAACTAATATCATTCAGAATTGTCTGTTTAATAGCAGCTATCTGGGCTGTAAAAATGGATATTTTTTCAGTTTAATAAATTAAGAAAAATTCTGATTGTAAGTTTAATTAAAGGGATTATGGTTTCTAAAAATTTCTTTGAAAAGGTAATTTGATATGAATATCACTACATTGATTACACTGGTTTAAACCCCTTCAAAATGTTCCTCCTCTTCCCTCACCCCACTTGAAACATGTTTATCTGATAACCCAGTAACAGGTGAGTGCAATTCCATTGGGAAAATAACATTCCAAAAAATCTGTGATACCAACAGAAAAACCAGATCAACTATGATCATCTGTTTCTTAAATATAATTCTTGTACTTAAATTAATTTGATTTGTTTAAAAAATAAAAACAATACATACCAGCAGCTTAAAACAAAAATAAAAAATATATATATTTTAAAAGGGAACTCACTGATGGTTCCAAATAAAAATCATGAAAACATGAAATCATTTTGCTTATAACAGAAATTTCATAATAAGTGTGAGGACTTCTTTAAGTCTTGCACCACTGGTTTCCCATCTCCCGAAGCCTGACTGCGTTCTGTGAAAATGCCTGAAGCAGAATCACAGGGATGGCTGGGTTAAAGGAAGGCCGTGGAACTCACTGGGACAGAAGCATTCGATAGTCCAGAAAGGAAACCCAGGGTGGGGAAAGTTTTTCTTTAAGGTACCAATATTAAGCCACAACTTTACAAATACAATGCTTTAACTCTCTACATGTAGGAAGCCAACCTGCTCCTTTTTGATCTTCTTCTTTGGCACAACCTCAGTGGATTTCTCTGATTCGGAACGAGTTCTAATTGATCTTCTCTGTTGCTTCTTTTCTGAGCCTAAAATATAATTTAAACAAATAAATAAAGACTCATTTAAGTATGGCCTGACATTTATGTAAGTTCTGACCAAATTCCCTGCTTTTCTAAGTTGCAGAGACATAGTTTAGTCTTCTTGAAAGCAGATGAACACATTTACGTATCTATAATTGAAGAGATGAAGGGATTGAGATGGATGACAGCGACTTTATTCTCAGTTGACATTAGGAAATACTGATTCAAAATTCAATCAGTACTACATATTTTGCATTTTAACAAATGAATTAATTCAATATGTAAGTGCTTAACAGTGCTTAGTGCACTTAATACAAGTATTGTTATTGTTATATTATTAACAACAAAAGGGGAAAAGGTAGGAAATGCACAAAAAATGCTGGCCAAAACCAAATTATTAACGTGACTATCAAGGGACTTGTTATAACAGAAATACTTAATCATTGAAAACTAGTTGAAACAAATTTTCAAGTGCTTTCATGTTAAATGGTAAAACAAGAAGCTACTGAGATTTTTAAACAGTAACATTCTTTAAAAGTAAACAGAAGATGACTCACATGGACCCCATTTTGGAAAGGATAAAACTTAGATTGAAGACCACAACTTGAAAGACTACTATGTCAGGAATGATTTCATTCTGTGACCCTGAGAAGGAATGGTACCTTCAGTGCAGCTGTTCTCCGTCTTTTCAGTGCTTGGACCACCTAAATGGTCCTTCCTAGATAATAATCATCTTTCACTTACCAAAGGAGAAAGCTGCTAAGACTTCCTATAAAATCAGGCAGAAGCTGCTTCAGTAAAGCCTTCATATCACCTGCATATTATTTTGTTTCATTGTTCTTGCCTATGTGTAAATAGATTCATTGGTTTCACTGTTCTTGCCTATGTGTAAATAGATTCCCTCACCTTAGTTCAAGGCCAAAACAAAGAAGGATCCCACTACCTTTGTTTTGGGGAAGGAGTAGGTAGTTTGATAATGACATATTGTTTCTGAGCTGTAGTTAATCATTTCTAGCAGAGAAGTCACAAATGAAGTTGCTAACCCCTTCCTTTACTCTTACTGATGAAAATGTTTATCAAAACAACAGATATTCTGCCCTCATAGACACCTGAGTATAGTAGAAATCCATACTTTAGTATACTTATCGATGTTTGAGTACCTACTAGGGAAGAAGAAAATGAAAACAGAACTGCTTAAAACAAACAAAAATCTCTACTTGTTTTGAGGATGACAACATAACTGTTCCATAAAGTACAGATATTAGAGGTATTGTCTTATAGAAGATAAGGCAACACGACGTCTTAAAATTCTGAAAGCTACGCATAGAACAAATAAATTCCACTACTTTTAAAACCACTAAAAAGTATGTTTACATTCTAAGATAAAGGAGGTAACCATCTTTGGATTTGGAAAATAGCTTAGAAACCTAGTATAAATGCAAATACAATTCTACAAACCATAGAAATGCAGCTGTGCCACATACTCTATGTATCCCCTAAATTTACTAGGAAAAGGCTTAGGAATTCTCCCTAGGTAGTTAACACCAGTTGAGATGATGATATAACTTGTTTCTGGAGGAAAAGAAAATCTTTTTTCTGACTTTCAACTACAGGCATACCTCAGAGATATTGTGGGTTCAGTTCCAGACCATCGCAACAAAGTGAGTCGTAATCTTTTGGCTGGTGGAGGGTCTTGCCTTCAATTTGGAAGAAATGCAACATATGTGAAGTGCAAAAAAAGAAATGAAGCACAATAAAACGAGGTATGCCTGTACTGAAGTTATTTTTATAAGAAGCAAAATGGTCATTTAAAACAACAAAATACACTTATCAACACAGCGGTAACCAAATTTAAGCCAAGGTCAAAGCTTTAGTACACTCATCCTGCTCTGAATGGTTCAGCTCAGTGGATAGTGTCAATCCTTGGACTGAAGGGTCCCGGGTTTGATTCCACTCAACGGCATGTACCTTGGTTGCAGACTTGATCCCAGTCAGGGTGCGGTGCAAGAGGCAGGCAATGGATTTGTCTCTCTCACATCAATATTTCTCTCTCTCTTTCCCCCTCCCTTCCACTCTCTCAAAAAATTAATGGAAAAATATACTCCAGTGAGGATTACAAAAAAAACCCAAAAAACAACGCTCATCCCTATATTAAGGTCCCAACATTAATTTACAGCCTAATTATATGTGCTTGTCTAAGGAGGAAACTGGGCTTTTACCAGATATAAAGAATGATAAAATTCCACGTTACCATTCTCTTATAAGAAAGTAAAGAGAAAAAGTCCATTGCAGAACTTAAAACTTACAATGAAAAGACTACATGAAAATAAAATGTTCTGTAGCTGAGAAGGAAAAAAATCAACTCAATTAAAAATACAAGTATAGACTGGCCAGTGTTGCTCAGTGGTTGAGCATTGGCCCGCAAACCAAAGGTTCTCAGGTTCAATTCCCAGTCAAGGGCACATACATACCTGTGTTGCAGGTTCGATCTCCGGCCCCGGTTGGGGTAATTGCAGGAGGCAACCAATCGATGTGTCTCTCTCACTTTAATGTTTATCTCTGTCTCTCTCCCTCCCAATCTAAAATCAATGGAAAAATATCCTCAGATGAGATTTTAAAAAAACTAAAAAAGTCCTGGCCAGTTTGGGTCAATGGTGAGAGAACTGGCCCGAGGATTAAAGGGTCTTGGGTTAGATTCCTGGTCAAGGGCGCGTATCTCGGTTGTAGGCTCAATCCCTGGTGAGAGTGGGAGACAACCAATGCATGTGACCCTCTCACATCAATGTTTCTCCCCGCCCCCCACTCTAAAAATCACTGAGAAAAATATCCTTGAGTGAGGATTTAAAAAATAATAATAACAAAATAAAAAATAAAAAAGTATAATTTAAGACCAGTCTAATATTATATGAAGAATTTACTTTCTCCCTAGTTAGGAGAATATAGATGTTTAAATAAAGATCCTTTTAGTCTATGTATCATATTTAAATTCAGATAAATCACCAACAGTTTAATGTAAAGAAAGACAATAAAACTGATTATGGAGAGCTGAGGCCAAAAGAGTATTTTAATGTTCAAAGAAAGAAACAAATATTTTCAATTATGGCTAATTAATGTAAAATCTAAGTCCATTTATTCATTCCTTCAACATAATTTCATTTTTTTACACAGTATTTTGAAATATGTAGTAGGCAGTTAGGCATGAGCAGAGCAAGGATGATAGACCAGGTACGGTAGGTCACCAGGTTGGAAAGCCCCAGGTACCTAGCAATGGGCAAAAGTGGGAAAAACAATTATTGTAGAGGAGGACCTTGCTCCCAGAGTAACCTCTCCTCTCCCAACAAGCGTATCACTGGTATGAGGTTTAGGCCTCCTGACCTTCATATCACCTGTCGTGGAGTTCGGACCCCCCAACCCTCATCTTTCCTCCCCTGGCACGTTGCTAGTCATGGGGTAGACTCCTTTAGAGGAGGAACAAAGGGGCCAGAGGTTAGCCTCACATGACTCCCATACAAGCCCTTGCACAACCACTCCCTTAAGCACATTAAGCCCTCAGGACAATGAGGTTCTAACCTGCATCAAATGTTCTTGGAGGCAGAGCCTCAGGGTCTGCTGACAACAGACTCAGAGCTTTGGTTAAACTAGAGATGACATTTAGGCCTCAGTTGTGCTTCAGCTCCAGGCCCAGAAAACCACCAAAACCAGACTAACCTACGCCATATCTGACATCATGAAGAGATGCAACAACTAATGACCCCGGGCCCTTGCACTGAAAATCAGTGGAGACTGACCCGGAAAGGACACACCTGGAAAGCTGATGAATAGTCTATTGAGATACTCCCCTAAGATCCCCACCTTTAGAGAGCAGATAAAACACCCCCTAGCACCCAGCACCAGCCAGCACCTTTCCCCAGTCTCCTTCCCCCAGGCACCTGCTCTCCACATTTCTTTTTGCTAAGTTCCAAGGGCCCTTCTTTTGCCTCTGTAACTCATTTCCTGAGCTCTCGAAGCCGCAGCTGACTCACCTTTGCTATCTCTGGCTTTCTAAATGAAGTATCTCTTATAATTTGAGCTTCTTGGCTCTGAATTCTTTCTTTGCCAAACTGAAGTATTGGGATTTACTGAACGCGAGGTCTGGTAACATTCTGGTTCCGTTTTGTCCCTAAGACTTCCCCTAACCCCTAAAAATGAAGGTCCCATGGAACTCTTTCTCCAGGAAGCATGGTCTGGGCCGTTCCCTTCCCCTTCTTTTCCCCCACAGGCATGTGTCACCTAACTTCTAAGGGACCCCATGAGACTTGTATCTAGGAGAGCAATGGGCAGCAGCAGCTCAGGCTAAACCTCTGAGCCTGTCCCCAAGGCCCCCTTTTCTCTGACTAGGCTCTCTTATTGCTTCTTCTATGCCCTTCCTTGTTTCACTGCACTAAATATATTTTTGCTGCATTCAAATTCTTGCTTGCTTTTCTACACTGTCTCTTGATTGAAATCTTTCCTTCAAGAAGACAAGAACTGAAGTCTTGTCATCTTGCTGGTAACACCATTATTTAAATTCCTGTAGGAAAAATAACTGTTACTATAAGCTCTCTAGCCCCTAAACCAGTGATGGCGAACCTTTTGAGCTCGGCGTGTCAGCATTTTGAAAAACCCTAACTTAACTCTGGTGCCGTGTCACATATAGAAATTTTTTTATATTTGCAACCATAGTAAAACAAAAATGTATATTTTTGATATTTATTTTATATATTTAAATGCCATTTAACAAGAAAAATCAACCAAAAAAATGAGTTTGCGTGTCACCTCTGACACGCGTGTCATAGGTTCGCCATCACTGCCCTAAACCATTCTTTCCTATTGAAATAATTGCTTTTATAGTTTGATTTTTTTAAAAATAAAATTAGATTTTGATCACTTAAAGTTTCTTAGGAACATAGCTACCATGTTATAGTAGAGCAGAACTATGACCTCAAAATGGATCAATATACTCTTCATTCATACCCACCTGCAGAACCAGATGTTGCTTCAGGAGATGATACATTCTGAGTTGCCTTTTCATTTCTCTGGTTTGGTGTAGAAATTATAAGTCTGTCTTGTCCCCTGACACTTATTTCCGTTTTGTTACCAATTCCCTTCAAAATAAGGCAAATAAAAAATAGGTATCTGGGACATATGTAATACTTTCAACAATAAAGATTTTGAAATATAGCTTAAGATTATAATTTGCTTAAATTTTATATGGCTTTGATTGCAGCTAATTATCTGAGTCATTATCAGAACAATTTTATTAAAAGTCTTCAGGGTGTATTCCAAAATGTACAATGAGATAATGTAGAAAAAAAACCTATATGTCTAAGTCCAGATGATGAATATCACTAAAAAATATATGTGTATCACATAATTTTCTGTAAAAAACAAAGTATTTTCTGGTCTGAACAGTCTCTCCCTTCACTCATGTCACAGTAAGAGAACTCTAGGCATCTTCATTTGGTAAAGTACTCTACTACACAGCTGAAACTTTCAACACACCTTGAAAGACAAGAACTATCCATAGATACAGAAACATGCTATTCATAGTGACCAAAATGTGCACCCAATAAGCAATTTGGAACAGACAGGTTCAGGTATTTTTAACACATTGAAAAAAAAGGAGTGATTTATAAATATGTATATATGTATTTTTATAAGCTTTCATTTATAAAAGGTCAGTTTTATCTTAAATTTCATTTACACAGCACTCTTTGGAGAGGGTTACAAAAATTTGATCTGTGCATCTAAAAGCAGATAAAAAAACTAGCTCCACTAATGGAGTCGATCTACATTCAAAACAGATATAGAGTGCGCATTTGCCATTCAAAGCTATGAACAGGCCCTAACTGGTTTGGCTCAGTGGATAGAGCGTCGACCTGCGGACTGAAGGGTCCCAGGTTCGATTCCGGTCAAGGGCATGTACCTTGGTTGCGGGCACATCCCCAGTAGGGGGTGTGCAGGAGGCAAGTGATCAATGTTCCTCTCTCATGATGTTTCTAACTCTCTATCCCTCTCCCTTCCTCTTTGTAAAGAATCAATAAAATATATTTAACAAACAAAAACCAAAGCTATCAGCAGAACCACGTGGGAACTGAGCTGTAACTTAAGTTTTTCCAAGCAGTTTAGCCTTAATGAACTCATTTGCACCTAAAGGCAGAAACAGGCAGGACCTTACACTTTTCTGTGGGAAAAAATATCAATAATAAAGCATACCTATATTTAATTATTTTAATGTTCATATGATGTTAGGAAATAGAGATTTTTTAAGAATATACATCCATGAGGTGCCCCTAACTCGAATTCACAAGCCCACGATTGTGGTACTGATGGGAGGTAGTGAAGAGGTCTATGGAATAAGTATTATAAATCTTATGAAAGAATTTTAAGGTATTAAAACTAAAGTATACGTACACTAAATGGAGGCCTGGAGCTGGCTGATAGAGACATTCAGTTCCAAGAAGCTATTTTCACCCCATACCCAAGCTATCACCACAGTTAAAGAACTAACGTAAGTTCTGGTATTTATCTAAAATACATCAGCTATCCCAAGCCAACATAAGCTTAACAAAATTGCTGGTGCAGCCAAACAGATTGCTTGCACCCAGCACCAGCCAGCACCTTTCTCTACCCTCTCCTTCCCCCAGGCACTTGCTCTCCACATTTCTTTTTGCTAAGTTCCAAGGGCCCTTCTTTTGCCTCTGTAACTCATTTCCTGAGCCCTTGAAGCCCACCTGACTCACCTTTTCTATCTCTGTGACTTTCCAAATGAAGTTTCTCTTATAATTTGAGTTTCTTAGCTCTGAATTCTTTCTTTGCTGAACTTAAGTATTGAGATGTGCTGAACTGATTGATTAGTGGGTACAATTATTACAAAGGTTAATTCAGATAACTGACAAAATGATTTAATAAGAAGCACACTTTTCAACTAAGAAAATTTAACTATACAAACTTAGAAACAGGCAAATTGCCCAGTTTTTTTCCATGACTTTAGGGAGCTAGGCTAAATTTTGGCTGCACAGCTAAAGATTAATCAAGTTCAGATGGGGATAATACAAAAGATGGGGGAGGAGAACACAGTCTTTTTGCCTGTGTCTTTTTTGCCCCATGTGCAAGGGCAAACTGGCTGTACATTTCAAATGCAGTGGATATTTAAATTATGACCTGGTGTTGTGTCTTTTTTAAATGCCAAGGTTAACTACTTATTAAATACCATTTCCGGGGGTGGGGGACATACAACGATATGAAAAAAGGAGGTACCTTTGTTGAATAAACAAACTGATCGATAAATTTCCCATCTCCTGTAGCATTCTGAAGAGCAAATACTTGTTCAATTTTCACAACTGGAGACATGTTGCACTTCTGCAAATCCAAGCTCCCTTTGTGCATTGTAATAGAAGCTGGTAACGATTTCCTGGCTGCTGCTGTTTTCCAGGCTATTTTAACAGGAGGTGGTTCTTCCTCTTCCACACTCGTGTGCCGCCTCTGGCTATGTCTCCGAATCTCAGTACTTGATAGTGAGGAGGCCACCTCACCTGTATTGGTCTGTTCTGGCTGAGTATTCAGCACTGATCTTGGTCTCCGGGGTTTTTTAACTTCCGCTTTGGAGGCAACATTCTTTTTCGCTTGGGATAAAGACTCCTCAGGCTGTTTATCAATATAGATAAAAGTATACTGTTCTATTCTTTCCTCTCGGGTCATTTTCAATGCTTTCTCTGCATGGGCAATGCCAATATCCCATTGAGCACGTTCTCTCTGTGGTCGGGGTTTCCGAATCTTTAAAGAGAGATATAGGCATTATCAGACACACTTCAAGCGAAAAAGTGCACTTAAACCACAAGGTATTTCCCATGTGAGCCTGTCATCTTTCTAGGTATACATAAATATCTTCAGGTTCTTCAGTCAAATCAATGAAATGTTCTTATGTTATAACTTCGATAAATTGGTATTACTATTGGATGACATGCAGGTCTACTCCCTTTTATAAATCCCCCTTTGGTGACCACTCTTCATGAAAAGTTAATAGTAATTCCCCAGTGTGGCTCATGGTTAAGCATCGACCTATGAACCAAGAGGTTACGATTAGATTCCTGGTCAGGGCACATGCTCAGGTTGCAGGCTCAATCCCCAGTAGGGGACATGCAGGAGGCAGCCACCAATGATTCCCTCTCATCATTGATGTTTCCATCTCTCCCTCTCCCTTACTCTCTGAAATCAATTATATATATATATTTATTTATTTTTTAAAAAGAATGCTACCCCTACAGCTTCAGGGTGCTACAGAGATCACAAAAAAGCTAATGGGCACTTGAAGCGAGCATTTGAAGCTGTGCTGCTAGTTTGTAACAATGCACACAGGGGCAGAATGGGGAGAGAAAGGAGAGAGCCCTGAGGAACAAATGTAAGTTGACAAGACATAGTAAAGCAGAAATGTATGAGAGAAAAAGTAAACCTGAATCAGAATTTTCATAGGTATCTATGTCCAGGGTTGATTAAAAAAAAACAACTTTGGATTGGCAAGACAGGTAAGAAAACTCTAAATAGCCATGTGAAATGACTAAAGCAATTAAAAATTATCCAGGGGGTTAATTTCTGACCAAGATAGCCAGAAATTAGCTAAAAAACCATGAGATGTTATAGTGTATGTCAAACACTGATGTATAAATCTGTAAAATGTTAAGTGGGATAAAATTAATCAAAATCCTGATCAATTTTAGTTTTTAAAGTGTAAAAATATGACAAATCAATGAATCACAAGAGACCCACACTAAAATTAATTAGTTGAGTTTAAAAATCTCAACCAGCCCACCCAGTATGGCTCAGCAGTTGAGCATCAACCCAGGAACCAAGAGATCACTGGTTCGATTCCTGGTCAGGGCACATGCCCAGGCTGCAAGCTTGATCCTTGGTGGGGGGCATGCAGGAGGCAGTCGACTGATGATGTTTCTCTATGATTGCTGTTTCTATCTTGCTCCCCCTCTCTCTAAAACCAATAAACACATATTTTAAAAATGTACAAGTTGTATGAGGCTGGAAAGGCTTATTAATATCAGAGGTGACAGAGTTAAGATTTAAAACAGTGAGATCATGAAACCAACATGATAACATTTAACAGGGAGAAATGTAAAGTCTTTCATTAGATTAATTTTAAAAAGCCAGTGGTACAAGTAACACACTGGAAATTTTGGTTTGATTATAATGGATAATTGATATAAAAGCACTTGGGGACTCTCATGAATTCACAACTGGA